TATTTTCCAATAATAAGCACTTAATATATTATTATTGTAAAAAAACATATAAAAAAAGTTTAAGTACATTAAAAATAGCCGAACAAGCAAATAATACTATTTCCAATAATACTTATGTATGAAGTGTTGTCATATTAAAAATAAATACATGTATTATCGATTTTTTTTAATAATCGATAACAGGATTTTATTACAGCGCATTATTCGATGATGCTTTTAATGAGTCGTTGTAAACAGTAAATTTTCATTATTTTGTATTAAGTATAGCAGTATTCCGTTTCAAAGAACGGAATATAGTAGTACATTATTAGTGTCGTTGGTTATTTACATTTGTACTGAAAAATCGATTACATAATAATTTAAAATATCGAGTACGAATCGTAGCTGTCTTCGAATACTGGCAACTGGTAAGATTAAAATAGTTTTAAAAAAAAGAGAGAAATCGACCCTAACTCGAATACCATAAAGTTTATTTTCCTTTCTCATTAATATCATAGCAGTTTGTTTTTAACTTGCGTATGACTCTGTGGTATGATGTTTAACGTGTATTGTTATTGTACGGTGCATACATTTCAAAAATTATATTTTAATGTAGGTACAAACATTTCTTTCATACATTTCATACATGTCAAAAATTATCTTTTAATGTAGGTACATACATTTCTTTCATACATTTCATACATGTCAAAAATATCTTTTAATGTAGGTACATACATTTATTTCATACATTTCATACATTTCAAAAATGAACTTTTTATGTAGGTACATACATTGTTTTCATACATCTCATACATTTCAAAAATTATATTTTAATGTACATACATTTCTTTCATACATTTCATACATTTCAAAAAAGAAACTTTTTATGTAGGTACATACATTTCTTTCATACATCTCATACATTTCAAAAATTATATTTTAATGTAGGTACATACATTACTTTCATACATTTCAAAAATTATATTTTAATGTAGGTACATACATTTCTTTCATACATTTCATACATGTCAAAAATTATCTTTTAATGTAGGTACATACATTTCTTTCATACATTTCATACATGTCAAAAATTATCTTTTAATGTAGGTACATACATTTCTTTCATACATTTCATACATTTCAAAAATGAACTTTTTATGTAGGTACATACATTGTTTTCATACATCTCATACATTTCAAAAATTATATTTTAATGTAGGTACATACATTTCTTTCATACATTTCATACATTTCAAAAATGAACTTTTTATGTAGGTACATACATTTCTTTCATACATTTCATACATGTCAAAAATTATCTTTTAATGTAGGTCCTTACATTTCATACATTTCAAAAATTTCATACAATACATTTCTTTCATACATTTCAAAAATTATCTTTTAATGTAGGTGCATACATTTCACACATTTCAAAAATTTCATACAATACGTTTCTTTCATACATTTCAAAAAGTATTTTTTAATGTAGGTACATAACACCCCATGTCAGACCCCTTATATTTGGAAGAAACTTAAAAATAATGCCAAAAATATTAGATGAATATATTTTTAATACGAATATTGTTTTATTTTTGTTCATCAACTTTATCCCTCACTAACAATACTAGTAGTAGTACATAACCTGGTTTATACCGCTAAAGATATTGAAAGATATACGAGTAATTCAGAATGTTATCAAGTTCAAAATAAGCACACATTACTTGCTTAGATAACAGAGTAATATTACTAGTAATAAAAACATTTGTAATACCCATATGTATACTACGTATGTATAGTAAGTACTTACGCTGCGGCGCCGTGAGACTCGTCTAAGTACTTCATCTACTCATCTACGCGCGGTAACCGCGCCGACCGACCAATAGGATAGCGCCTCTCGTGTTTCCAGAAAGTTCGCGACTAACGGACGATATAGTAGTAAGGCAATGAGTGTCCCAGTGATATCATTATAATATTTTCTCGTTAAATTTTATTGTAATATACACAATTTCGCACTAAATAACGTGTTACCCCGTTACACATTTCTAATAATGAAAAACCTAGACCGACCCTGTTCACTTAATCTTACAAGATCTGACTTTAAAAATTACGATATCCTCATATAGCCTTTCATTTCCCCTTTCAATACTTTTTCGCATTAAAAAGTAGCCTTTCTCAGGGTCTACATTATCTGTCTACCAAATTTCAATTAAATCAGTTCAGTAGTTTTGGCGTGAAAGCGAGACAAACAGACAGACTGAGTTACTTTAGCATTTATAATATTTGTAAGAATATCGCTATTAAAAATAGGGGTTGGTGAAAGACGGGTGAAAATTTAGGCGTGTATGTATTTTCAATGTAACATTATAAATAAATAAAAAATTGTCCATAATACAAAAAAATATTTTTTCGGGGTAGGCCACCCCTATGACTTAGGGGTATAAAAAATAGATAACAACCCTACCTCAGACCTGGGAAGTATACATATCAAATTTCATCAAAATGTGGGAGAAATATGGCAACTAACACTGTGATACAAAATTTATATATAAGATATAGCGGAATTCTCATTAGGTAAAAGAGGGGTACATCGTAGAATACATGAGGTATATACCAGTAAATTAATTGTAGCTAAAATCAGTCTCATACATATAACGATTGAAATAAAAAATCGTATAGCCCGATTTTGATACGTACGAGTATAAACGTATCAAAATCAGGCTATACGTATAGCGCAGACGCGTTACAACATATCAAAAAAAATAGGCATGGAATGTAAAATAAACCATAACACAATAGGTATATACATTGGCACATAAGCCATATCTGCAGAGTGTCGGCTAACGATATTATACCTACACATTTACATTGAATCTTGAATCGTCCCTAATGAGGTACACGATACAGTTACCTACATATCTATTATATACATATCTTTGCAAAACAGATGTCATGTAGACTGAATTCACTGCCATCTATTTTCATGCTTTGTTACTAAGCACCCACTAGTAATCCGAACTGCTTCAGATCTAGCGACATCTAGCGGCTACGGTGGCGAAATAAAATAGCCCGAAGAATAGCCCGAGTTAGGAAGGAACCATTTTCTTGTATGGGATGGGGTATCTGTATGTAATATTATGTTATCTGTGGTTATAACTAAAGTAACCTACTTGTGAAGCGTACGCTGGTAGAAGAACCATGGTTTGGAAGGTATTTCCGGTTGAATCTCAAACCACGAACTTTGTGAATTATTGTTACAAAGAAAAATATCTTTTCTATTGCATGTGACATTTATTACTGTAATAATAATAATGTGTGATAGTTTAAATAGTAAATATATAAAAGTTTATTTCAAATGATCTCTATTGCCTGCAGTGAAGCACGCGCACTTTTCATGGGACAATTCTTCACTGCCAATCGTATGGGTTGCTTTAGACACTCCAAATTATCATGATGTTTAGGGCAAGGCATACTATCTACAACTGATCATAAATCATAATCCAGCTAATTAACCGTCTTAGTGCCATGGCCCGCGAACGCGCTCCTGCGCGTTTTAACTAAAGTGCCTGATGCGCGATAGCGACTTACGCATCAGTGTGTTTTTGAGTTTCGGGCGCTATTTTAAAAATTGAAACATTTTTACAAAAGTTACTTATTATTACATATTATTTTCTCTTACTCCAAAATTTCACAAAAAACAGTGTAATTATTCTGGGCATTTTTCTCATATATTGCGAAAAAATGTATGGCACTAAGACGGTTAAGACCGGGATTAGATAATAACCAGTATTCAGTTTTGATGAAGTCGGGAACATTCGTTTCATGTCAAACTTAGGTGGTTCGAGTTTTATGACTTACTAATAGGACCATTTTTGATTATAGCATATGATGTTGTTGATCCTATCTTGATAAACTTGTGCCGATGTTTTAATACCTATTTCACGACAATCAGTTACACTTATATTTATTAATAGGTATAAATTAAAAAAAAAACATTTGTTATTTGTTCTTTTATTGTAAAGTTGTTTTTGAATAGGGTTCCCAAAGATATTGAATTTCATTTGATCACTTATAAAATGACATTATTTACAGTTGTAATGCAGTGTGACTTATGAGAGGAAATCTAAAACTGCCCAAGTGTTAAATTGTGTAGCACAACAAGGGTTCCAAACAAATATTGCACAATGATTTATCTTTATATGATAATGGATGGAACAAAGAACTCTCTTACACTAACCTAATGTATGATATATATGTATACATACAAAAATATGTTATACCTGTAAGCAATAGATGTTAGAATTTTCTTGGCTTAGACCACATTTATTTTGATGGGATCTAATCGGACTGTATGATTTCTCAAAACTGCTAATCAGAAACATTCTTATTTTCCGTTACTTTGTAAGGGTTTTACCTATTGCATAAATTACATTTTTCATCATAACTCTCATAACTATGCCATCATATGCAGTCATAAAAAAATAAAAATAGATTTTGCAATATATATATGCATCACTTTCACAGGATACCATACCGAAGCTAATGGTATTACTTGTATTTTGAAATTTTGGGAAGCCAATTCGAAAAATTTTCTAAGTAAATATATTTCATTTCTATTATGATTGGGTCGACAATTATATATATATATACATATAATTAAACCCAAATTTCAAATTATAGCATCGGCAGTTTTTATCTATACAGTTTGGACATACGGACGAACAAAGTTGCAAGCATTTCATTTTACCTTTTTGGTTCAGAACCCAAAAACCAATATGCAGTACCTATATAACGAGATAGAAGATAAAATATTACCTACAATGTCAATCATTAGTGAAACTTGTGTTGACGTAAACAATACCATTTTAGCAACAATCTGAATACACAAGTAAACTTATGAAACCTGACCACACATTTTTTTTTCACCATATGCTTTTAATTATCATAATTAATTTTGTTTATATTAAATATTAAAGTGAATGATAATTTTGAAGATCGTAAATATTATAGAACAAGAAATAACTGAGTACATGTATCTCCTGTAGTCCAAATTATCATTTTAATTTGTCTCATCATATTATGCAAAAACCTTAAAGTGGTTTTATAAACAATAACTTTATTGTTTTTGCATGAAATAAAATAGCTTCTAATTATTACTGTAATTGAATAGCGAGTTTGGTATATTAAAAGATTGTACTCATGTCCAATTCCAAAAAATTCAGCACATACATAATATTTGTGAATGGGTACCTTTATCCCAAATGCATATGTACAGGTTACTTTTTGTCTCAGTCAATAATTGTCACATGAGCAGAGTGGCGAATAGAAGCCAGTAACTAGTAGTTATTGTGTAATTTAATGAAGCACAATTTGATGGCTGCAAATTTTTTGCCCCTGTATGGTATGACACATTTCATAAGTTTACCACATATAATAACTTTAACACCTATATAATATACATAAAATAGTGAAATCGCGGTCTAGCGCGAAATGTGTTTGCTAGACGTCGACGTCACTACTGTCTTCGCTGTATTCGTTGCAGTCAGGTTCCTCTACGTCGTCCTCAGGCTCCCCTTCGCCTTCTAATGTCTCTTCTTCTACAGGATCCTCCATTTCTTCTTCAATTATACTTGATAATTTAGATATAACACCTCTGCCCATTTCTGGAAAGTAGGTAAGTAAACAATCAATTATATTGCATTTATTCGACCTTCAACGATATACACTGTCACTGGATTTCAGCTTGTATATTCTTTAGGTGTAGTACCGTAGTAGTATCAACAGTATACATGAATATATCTTTTTTTCTATCACATACCATAATAGTTGAAATGGTAATTAATATTTTTCAAATTTCAAATTCAAATTCAAAATATCTTTATTCATGTAGGTCTATTACAGACTCTTATGATATGTCAAATCTACCGTCAGTTCGGAATGATATCGAGATGAGAAGAACTGACAAGAAACTCAGCTCGTAATTTTTTTCAAATAATAGTGGAACATGTTTATGATAAATACAGTTATTAAAATTCAAATTTGGGAGAATAGAGTGACCACCAGCATATGCTATCGCAAAGAACAAAAATTTAATCAGTGTTCACAACCTGAACAGACCAGTCCCCACAAGCAGCACCCGTTCACGAGTATGACGTATGAGCCAGCCATCATTGTACTCAACCATATTTGAGGGAGCACATCGACCCGGCCCACCACGCCGCCACAAGTTTGAACTTTATAGCGAGCATGACTGTTTCAGGTTACTCCACTACGTCAATTATATTATTTACAGCATAGGCTGTACCGATCACAGTTTTCACCCATTACAATATTAAATTTACATTATTTAATTTACAATATGTCATTATAAAATTTATAATAAGTTTCTTAAAATTTGTCAAATTAAAATTTGTGTATTTGTGCAACATACATATATTTTGAACAGCTGTATCCAAAAATATACTACAGCATTTTGAACTTATTTAAATTATAACAAAGTGAAATTGAAGTGACAGAAGGCGAACTCCTGACTGGCAGATATAAGTTCCAACCTCAGCTCAGGCGGACATCAGAGGGGGACATATCAGTGTTAGATTAGTTTTAAGTTTTATTCAATCGTATATTAATAATTTGACACTTATAGTTGTACTGAAAATCTAAAGATACATACGTTCTACATAATGTTCCAATGCTTTTGGTACCATATTCTTAGCTCTTTCAATATCTTCTTCTGAGCACTCTCCCTTGTCCAATCCTATAAAAAGTATTATGTTGGGGATGAATATTAAAAGAAATGGTTGTGTTATCATTTGTTAAATATAAATATTTTATCTTTTAATAATGCTGTTTCGGATTTAACCCACTACATTAATGTTTATAATTTAGTATCATAGAAAATATTTTACTAACCAAATAAAAGGCCCATTCTTTTTAATATGTCAATGTCATCATAAATTTGAAATTTCTTGTTGAAATTAAACATATACTCTGTCCTGAAAATAAAATATAATGTATAATGAATACAGGTAAAAAATAAGATTATCATGGCGAAATAAAATTATTATTCATAAGTCATTTACATACTTATCATTAGAAATACTACAGTCGATCAAGGCTTTGTCACTAGTATTTACTACTATAAATGGTAGATGTATTGCAGATGAAGGTGATGGCTTTACACCCCTGTTCTCTGCATCCTTGTTTCTTTGTATTAGACTTTTAAATGATATATGCTGAAAGAAATGTGCATTATGTATAGAAATATGTATTAATAAATAAAAATCAATATGTAAATTCATTATTCAGATTTACTTACATGTATGTTATCACAGATGTCATATGATAACATGTTCTTTTTAGTGCTGTTAGCCATATAGGCAACAGTCACCATTTACCAATTACATTAAATAAATATATAAATTTACTTAAAAAAGCTAGCTCAGTTTTATTTACAATTATTCTTACTGAATATGTATGTATATTGTTATGGTACAAATTTTATTAAATTGGGAAACACAAATTGGTATTGGCAGGAAATATTTTAGTATAGGGATGATATAGTAGCAAATTATAACATTTTTAAAAAATCTCTCTAAAAAGAAGATTTTAATATTATTAATTTTCTGAATGTTTTAATATGCCTACAATTTTAATAATCAAATCATGATATTGTATAGATGAATTTATTATTGTTGTACTTAACTACCATCAATAGATGGCAGTCTACAAATGTATATAGTTGCAGATTTCACTGAGAAAGTATAATTAGTTGATTAAATATTTCTATTTAATCATTGTCAAATTTCATTTTTAACAATTAGAAGCTAGAATTGCCTCCTTTTACATAAGTCAATTAAATTAACGCCATCTTAATTACTACTCTTAATACTTTTAAAATGATATATAATACTTCTGTGTAAATTTTTGTCAAAACTTTAAAGGAAAAATAATAATTTAAATAACTTTAAATGCTTGATTTGTAAAAAAATTACATTTTGAATAGTGCCATTTTTCTATTTAACCGACGAATTATTATTATTTAATAATAATTAAAAATAAGTAATAGTTTACCTGTAAAATAAGCTCTTGTAGTTGTTGTGTCTTCTTTTGAATCTGCTCAAGTTTCAACTGTTTCTCTTTTTCTAAAGATGTACATTCTTGTACTGAATTTGTAGGTAAACCAAGCCACCTAATTTCTTTTTTTTCTTTTGATATTATATTCATTGCCATTAACACATTTAATGCATCATATACTCTTCGCCTTATGTTTTTTTGGTCATAGTGCTGAAATGTGAAATAATTCTGAATTACCTTTCTAATCTTTTCAATAATTATATCTTAGCGTGCCAACCAGGCTGAAAGGTTCATACACTTGATTTAGAGAACATTTACACATCCAGTGACAACAGCCAGGAATAGGTAAGTTTGTAATGACATACAACATTCTCTCATATCTCAATGCTAGCAAATAGGCTAAGTGGTAATGCAAACCTTTACAAGAGAGCATATCATTAATTAAGAAGCAGCTTTAACATACATATATTTTCAAAATAAAAACATACTTGACTATCTGCTGAACCATGCATGCCAGCTGCAAATTCTAGGACTAACTCATCAGCCACTTCGTTGTATGATGTGAAGCCCTTAGTTCTGACTTTTTCACATACTTTCATAGAAAAGTGTCTTAAACCTTTTCCAACTTTATCGGCGTGTTTGCGTCTTTTCGTGGTACTGAAAATTATAAGAATTATTAAAATTATATCAACATAAATCTATTCTATGCTCAATAAAAACCTAAAGCCTTCTACTGTGTGTATCAGTACTAGCTTGCCAGGAAGAGCGACGACATATTAGTTTCTATAGTATGTCATCCAATAGGTCATCAAGCAATGTGGATGTGGACATTGTTGTTACTATATCCAAGACTGTGTAATACAGTTGTGACACCAGTTATTTTTAAAAATGTGTATAGATATTTAAAATTAAGATAAAAGACAAAGAATAAGTATTATTATGTAATTCCTGTTGGTTCTAGCCTGATTATTAGCCAGTATTTCTTGAGATTAGCATGTTCAACTAAACAAACAACATCTTCAACTTCATAATATTACTATAGATTCCATTGAGATATAAATTATCCCTTAAGAGAGAATAAAATAGGAGAAGGCGAACTTCAGAATCAGTGTATCAAAAGTTTCTTGTACAGAAATATTAGAAACCTCCATAGATTAGGAAAGTAGAAATGTCATAATAACATTGTTTTGGGAAAGTATTAATGAGGAAACTTACTACTCTGCAGGAGGATCATTATCCGAATCATGCCTTCTTCTAGAGGCATGAGACATAGTAAAAGACGACAAATCTTTTTGTTCACTCACTACTTCACAATTTGATAAATTTTGTGCTGTTTGTACTGGTACAGGGTGAATGTATTTTAATTCAGTATGTCGTTGATGTTCACTCTGAAAATGAAATAAAATATAGTTCATATAGTGCAATAATATATAATAAAAATGATTAATTAGTTAATATGATTAAGAATAAAGATTAATTTTAAATTATTTCCTACATTTGCTTGTATTTTAAATCTAATAAAAAAAATCAGTGTGAATATACAGAAATACATTTAAAATATTATTACTAATAAGTCATTTAAAGCAAGTAAACCATTTTTAAAACTAATTACTTAATAACAATTAAGTATGGCTTAAGTAATAGTTGTTCAAATAAGGGAATTCAATATACACATATTGAAAATCCCTAAAATCAATGTTAACAGACAATCTTACAAAAACATTTGAGTTTCTAAATAGTTCTAGACTTAACAGTCTCACAATGATCATAGATACTGGACTTTGACCAGAGGGAATCTTTTTATAATTTTTTTCCAAATGTGCCTGTTTCTAATTCTGCCCCTAAGCATATTGTTTTGTAAGTTATTTTGTATGGCATTCAAATTACATGGTATGGAGTTATAACAGCATAGTGTTTAGTGCTAATGGGAAAACATAGCAGTTAAAATGGATATCACAATGCATTCTGGGATTCTCAAACTGGAGTTCATGCTCATGTATGATGGTTATCATTTTCCATTAGTCATTTATATAAAAAAAATTATAACACATTAATTTTATACATTTAACTTTCTATATTGTCTAGTAATAAATTGATAAATTATATTGTGAACATACATACTCTGCTTACTGGGCTGGCTTCAGATTTTGGTGACTGTGTTTGTACTTCAATAGGAAACTGTACTAATTCTGAAATTAAAGTTTTTATAAAAGGCTGAGAAAATTAGACACCAATAATACTTATTCAGTCAGATGATGTACAATCACATAAGAAGTATTATCTCAAATACAAAAATTAGCAAACTTTTCCATGGCTTTTTAAATTCTAGTAAGTACAGTAATTCAGTAGTAGAAAAATAAATCAATGTGAAAAGATAACTTCAAAGCATTAAATCACACCTTAAAAATGTATAAACAGATCAGGCCAGTATTGAAAAGTCTAAAAGTGTTATTTGTAATTCCTACAATTATAAGACAAAAAACAAGCAAAATAGAACTTACTTGGTGGATACTTAATATTCTTCAGTGCAACAGCTTGGTGGACTGATTTCTGAAGTAAGAAAATGTGTTGTTTTATACCACAATGAGAAATTTACAAGTCAAAAGTGTCAGACCCACATAAGTATAGTAATTCATGTAATATGTAATTATATTCATTAATATATTTATAAAATATTATATACTATGATATATTTACATTACAAGATGACTTATAAATATGAAATAATAACCCATAATTAATTCATAGGTTTCAAACACTTCACTGTTGGGACTCAAGCAAATGATCTTAGCAAGGAGAATCAGTATTCAATTTATATCCATAATAGAAAAAGTAAGATGGTTATATTGAACAGAATAGGCACCTGTGGTTTCCCTTCTGTAGATGTGGATATTTTAATTAATTTCACTGGATAAGAATTCACTTTTATTTGAGCAAGGGCTTGATTAGCTGTGCCTTGTAGTACCTTAACCATTTGAGGTTTACCTAAAATTAATTACTTATTTAATATTATTAGTCACTTTGTTATGGCTTTTTACTAATATAATTCGACAAATGTACAGCCAATACAAGCAATTTGATTATAAACTTTTATTTTGAAGATTTGTTGCCGGGATGTAGGATTCAATACTGGGATGCCGAAATGTATGCTTTTTTTTTCATATTAGATTATACACATTTTAAAATGTCTTATTTAATAATGCCCAAGGAGCCAAGCGTATCACGTATATAAAATTAATATTTTTCAATGAAAATAAGTGCGAAATTAAGTCCAGTTAAATTTGGCATCACTACTAACCATTGGCGTCATGTACAAGGAAATTTACTGTATTATTTTTTTGAGACATTTTTTCCATACTCGTCGCAATATATTATACATTTATTAAACTCTTTATGGCATTAATTAGAAGCTTTATTTGTGACGACCAAGCTAAATAAAATACTCAACTCAAATCGTATGGTCAAAATGGCGACATTACACATACATTACTTTGGGGAAAAGTTTGATGGTCCTAAAGTGCACTAACAAACACAAAGGATAACTCTAAATTCTTCAAAAATTGTCATATATCATATATTATAAAATAAAAATGAAATCACTTGTAAAAAGCTATAAAATTCATTACTATTCAAGATAAAGTAGCGATGGGAATACACTGTACACATTGGAAGCTAGCGGTGGCGGGCTAAATAAAATTTTGTCAGCGTACCGAACAATCCAACCCAGCTGATTGGTTGAATGACGCTAGGTATATCATGCTGTTTACTAGACAGTAGAGATTGACCTATAATTTTTAACTTTTAAACGTTTAATTTAATGCGTAAAGCGTCATAAATAGACTTTTACTTAACGTTTTTCTTAGTAAAGTACCAACTTATCGTATGCAAATGTAACGGTCAAAAAACTTTTAACACATAAATTAAACCACATCGAGCTTTGAAATAGGTTTTTACGTAGAAAACGGCATCTAAGTTGGATAAAATTTCATTTCATATATATGTTCAAAAGTAATCTGATAGGAATAATAGAAGACGAGAAACACAAATGTACCGTGCCAGTGCAATTAAATAGTATGTGTTTAACGACGTTTGAATTTTTTAAACGATACTGCGTCTTGTTATCTTATTACCATCTTCGTGTTGTTGCTTTGTAGTGCTAAAATTTATAAATTAATATGTATTTATAGTATTTATTTTAGATAGTGATTATATTTATAATAGTTTATCAGTCATTGTGTTATTTACTCGTATACCACTGTATTACTTTGTCATATTACTTTGTTAATGTCAGAAGTTCTGAGGCAATTGTTCTTGCAATAAGGCCTATTGGTAATACAATATTCCATAGTTAAATTAATATTTAAATTATTATTAGATTACACTTTACAGCAATATTTTTTATATGTAGCAGATAGTGTAAAACCGAAACAATAAAGTCAACATATCATTAGTCACATAACATTGACGTTATTGGTCTGCTTTTGTTCGAAGATCTGCAGTGCAAAAACTTTAAACAAGCTTTCGAAATTATTCTATAAATATTGACTCGTAATTATAAACACAAAAAGAACAATTAAAAATTGTTCGTTATATGTGTATACATTATCAATTATTATACAATTAGCAACTTTTCTCGGCTCTGCACGGGTATTCATTGTTAGTAATGGAGGTCGGACTACTGTACGACCATGTGCACGTGTTATACATGTAAAACTTCCGGAAGATATTTTTGAAACGCTAGTTAAAACACCATCGAAATGAAGCGTGGTATGAAGAAATAAACGAAGTTACCTTTTTTTTAAACTACGATGGTGGAAAACTACTTACGGTCTATCTGATGGTAAATTGTTACTATAGCATATGGACGCCTGAAGCTTGACATGTGGGCATTGCCAACCCTTAGATAACCGAGTATATTATACTCATCTAGAAAAATTCCATGCTATAGTCTCGCGAAAAAACCTTTGTAGGTAGTTCATTACACAATTTTTTTTTGTACGCGAGAGGAAGGTCCCCTGAAACTACTTAGGTTGTAGGGATGAATTCCCTGTTGGTAGCAAACAGTGTTATGTTGAAAGTTGTCTACAGCATAGGTATGCCGAACAATTCTTCAAGATACTGTATTTTGTAACGGTCTGCAGTTGTATATTCGGTAGAACATATGAGTACAAAGCGATGTAAAGTCTCATCTATAGTTAAGGGGTTCAATGCTGATAGAGAGATCGGGATAATCGATAATTCTCATACCACGTCTTTGAACCGAGTGAAAAGGACCGAGCAGGTATTCAGGCGCTCCTATACAGTAACTCGACGTATTCACGTCAGGAAGATAGAGGAGCTCAAATGCAATAATTTTGATCTTATATATGTATGGCCACAAGTTAATAGTTTTAGAGTTATTCTGAATTTTGTGATTTTTAAAAAAATATCCTATTCAGCGTCTTTAGAACATTATTAAAAAAATTTGGCTTGTTGAATGTTTCAACCTAATTTTTATGAGAGGACTTGGTAACAAAACATAATAAATCACAAAATACCCATGAATGCTTAATAAGGAATAGCTATGACTACAAATGATTTTTTTTGACGAATTAAACGTTACTTGAGTTTAAGATTAAAAAAAAATTATGACTCTAAGCGTACAAATTACTAATAAAATTTTCTCATCTAATAAGATATCTAAAAAGGTATAATAGTCGATATTTAATAAAAAAATAATAATTAAAAAAAAAATATTATTCTTTCTTGGTCAGTTAAGTGAAACAAATTTATACAGAAATAAAAGTTTAGTATTTTTACAAATCTTGCTCAATATGAGCCCCACGATTTCGAATGCATTTACGGACATGTTTTCGCATTTCGGTTTTAGTAATCCGTGACGAAAATATGCATTTCATTTGGTCAGCTGCGTTAAACTTTCTGTCAAAAGTTTGTCTGTTAGTCAGTGAAAGTTTGATCTGTTGTACATGTATCGGACCGACATCCGAAAATAACAAACAATTTAGATAACGCATAATTAATATTTGCGTATGAATCCACATAGAATGAAAGAACCTTTTTAACAAACCTTTTATATTAAATAATGGTAAGGCTTGCGTTTTCTTTCAGTAATGGTTTTTAAAATAGAAGGTTGTGATAATCGATTCTTTAATGTTTACTTTATAAGATTCGAAAGAGTTGCCTTTGCCAAATAAAATGTAATCCCTTATTCCCATATTATTTCGTGCAATTAGGAACTGTGTAAAATACCCATGTAGGTCAATTATATATTAATTTATTGTCTTTTTAGAGAGTATAATATGTAATTTATGTATATGAAATTTAAGGAACTCTCTATAGAGTTCTGAATTGTCCTAAAATATTATTATAATTTTTTAAAAAAGCTGTGATGAAGGCCTACTTTTGACCTTTATTTTTACTCAGACTCTATGGTATAATATTATAAAAAATACAGTTATGTCATACATATGTGTCCTATAGGAAACTTTAGTTAAAAAGCGTGCTTTTGGTATAAGTATTCACTCACTTCATTATTCGTAGCACAGAGTAGTTTTGAAGTCATTCTTTTTTTTTAATAATGCTTTATTCATGACCACGGATACAAGTCCTTCAGTCGAATACATTTTTATATAATGAATTGAATACAAAACATAAAAATTAAAACATAAGAAATAAACTATTATATAAGCTTAGACAGTACAATTTTAGAATGTACAATGTAGTTATATATTGGAATGGAAACGTTCATGATTCATGTGTTACCAGTATACGTACGACAAATAGGTAACGTTCTCCTGTTCGTAGCCCTTTTTAAATTTATATCTTAATCACTCTCATCTCATCTGTCTGAAACGTCAAATGGTTACCTAAACAGTATGTTTTGCACTGCGTTTTAGATTTCTTTCCATTCTTCCTCTATTATAGTCAGACATTGTTTAAACAAGCCACAGGGTCATTGCCTTTATAATTTTTGTTGTTGCTTTTGTTGTGTAAACACAACTATTATATATATTGTAAATTTTTTTGTGAAATAAAATAATTTTTAACCATGAAAAGTACAAAATGTGCAGATTTTTTGAGGATACACAAACTTTGTGACAACTGTCAAGTTGTCAACTCAAACATGTTTTAGAGACTACAAGTTTCCTTTTCTCTGTAAATTCTGTGACACTGTACGTTCAAAACGTAAACAATAAACATATTTACATTTAAAAAATAATAATTTCTAATATTTTTGTGTGCAGGACATATTTTTTAATCGTAATTATAGAAGTAGTAGTAAATTTAATATCAATTTTATAGTTAGCCTGTACTTGTCCATAATATGAAGATTTTATTATTTTGCACGTTGTTCATTATATTTTTTGTTAACACAAGTTCAGTTAATTTAGAGGATATCAATTTACCTCCTGAACATATTCCATATTATTTTAATACTTTTCCCGACATTGCTAAATCATGTTTGAATGATCCTGAATGTCCATATAAAGGACTGGCAGATGTTAAAGCTTGTTGGGGTTATGAGCGTTTCTGTAATGAGACTAATTCATATCACGTCAGACCTCGATGTCCTGGCGATCATCGCGGATGGGTTAAGACGAAAGAAGCACAATTTGCTACATTTTATACGCAAGCTGATTTTGGTAAGAATATATACTAGATATAAATCTGGATATTTATACATAGGATTAATGTTTAAGTATATTTTTAGATAGATACAGTGTCTTTGAATTTTGATATACAGTGTACCCCCGGTTATCCGACAAACGTTTTGCAGGGCAGTGTCGGATTTGTCGGATTTTGGAGTACAGCTTAAGGGGGGACTCCTATAGTGCAGAATTTTTTACAAAAGAGTACCTTGTAATTGACAAATTATAGATCCAGTGCTAACATTCTATGTCATATATGTATGTATATGCATTCTGAAGTACAAAGCATTCATCATGTATGTCAACTAATAAAAGATTCTTTACCATTTAGGCGGTCTAAAATTTTTCATTCATCTTTCTTTCGTCGTCAAAACACATTTTATTTAATTGTTAGTGTTTTGTGCTTTCGCTTTTGAATTGATTCATAATAAACAATGAATAAACAGTAAACAATGAACACATGCTATCTTCATCACATGTAAGTAGTCAAATTCAAACTAAGCAACCATAATCAAAACAATACCCTATGCATTGAGTGGTGATGAGTACAAGTTTAAACTTGTTCAGTCATGCATTAGCAAAGGTTGTCAAAAAATATTCAATAATAAATAATAGGCCATGTCGGATTACAGGGGGGGCCGGATAAGACAGGGGCCAGATTACCGCGGGTCCGCTGTATAAAAAATAATTTGTAATTTTGACTAATTTGTGATTTACAAATTAACCCTTTATATAAAATTTTGATTTATGCTTATTGCAGGATTTGTACACTTGATATTTAAAATGGTAACCCTATATTTTTATGCAATAATCATAAATTTTGATATTTCTATGGGTGCAACAAACTAGCTTTACAATAACTGGAAAGGGGCTAAATAAAAAAAAAATAGCTATTTTAATACATTTTCACTATATAACAAATATACTGAACATAAATCAATTTTCTTTTCAGGTTTTGTGAAAGACCAAATAAATGAGATAATGGTGATGTGTGAAGCTTCATATCCAGATGACACATCCTTAGAATGTTCTAAATACTTGAGGTATTATATATATAATAGACTTTTAGACAAACTTTGCATAGAAAACAGAAATTGTAATATTGAAATAAAGACAAATATATACAATGGCACTACTGTTGCGGTAGTCAACTTTGTACATAATTAGTAATAACCACAACACTGAGGGTTGACACACATATATATATTTTGCTTTGAATATTTTATATCCAATGTGGCAGGGGGCAATCCTACTGTTGTTTCATAGACATTTTTAGTTGATGTTATTGTGGCCTCCGTCTGAATCGGATATAAATATATATATGAACACACATAGGTTTTTTACGTTGAACATATTTGAATTCACAACTGCTTGGGTGTAATTTTAGGTTTAAGGAATCCCTATGCTGACATTATGTCAACACTCACCTTCATCACTCATGTAGTGTAGGTTGGACTCCATTTACTGCAATTGGCCTCTCATTCGGGCCGTTGTGCGTGTAGAGCCGGGCTACTAACGTAGCCAGCCAAGCTCCTCCCAGAAGCGCAGAAGTCTCCTGGTGTCTTCGCAGGCTTCTCGGAGCGACCTCACCGTTCCGAGGATTTGATTGCGTTGTGTGGTCACTGCTTCGCACTCCAGGATTACGTGAGCGGCCGTTTCCTCGGCTACAAAGCAGCCCCGGCATAGGGGACTGTCTGTAGCACCTATTGTGTACAAATGTTTGTTTAAGGGACAGTGGCCCGTCATTGTCTCTATCATTATTTTTATGTTATGCCTGTCCAGATTTAGTAGGCGTTTTGTCATTCGTTGATTTGTTCTGGGAATTGCCACTTTTGATTTCTCTCACTTCTTAGTCAAATATGATAGTAGCCTGCTAGTTCAGCTTTAGTTACATGTTCTAGAATAGAGCCCATTGCAGTTCTAAACAGGCCATCTTCTAGAACATTAAAGCGATCCCAAAATTGTTAAATTACATCCAAAAAAGAGATAAGATTTTTGTGAGATTTTGTATGCCACTTGGTCATGACTAATGTTATTATAAGTGATGCCCAATAATCTTTTTGATTCTTTTCAGATTCTGTCGAGGCAGGAATATGATGTTAAACTTTACAGGGCTTGTGGGTCGTGGAAACAACTTGAGATACAAAATGGATATTCTTGGGCCTGGACAACTAGGTACTCATATTCACGTTATAATACTTCCAAATGATTACAGTGTATATCTTTATATACTATATATTTACATCTATTATGTTTATGATTGACTAGCTGTGTTTCATCCGTCTAGCTTAAAAAATGACAAATATCTAATATACAAATATTCATCACCAGAATATTTTTGTTATAATATTTGATGTCATATTTATTTATATTTAACAACTTATATTCAGCTACAGCCTAAAAAATAAGTTTCAAGCTTAGATGCTTTAATATGATACTTTTTAATATGATCATTACTTGTAAAGCAAGAGCTTTACAAACAAATAGTGATCATATTAAAAAGTAGCCTATTTATCTGTGTAACGAATTTAATTTAAATCAGTACAATACTTTTGGCCTGAAAGCGCGACAGACACATGGACAGATAGACAAAGTTACTATTGAATTTATAATATTAGTAAGGATTACTATGCACGACTTGTTAATCTTATTTCACTCCTCAGATTGAATTACAGAAAATGTCTTTTTTATGGTACATATGTATATTTAATTTGCAGAGATTCCAAGTATTGATCCTACCACAATTTATTTCTAGGTATTTACTGATTATTACAGTAAAATAGGAACCTAGGAACTATTTATTATGATATTTATACTTTTTTTAAATATTAATCAGGTTAAACCTGTGAATATTATTATTAATAGTTTGAAAAATATATATATGGATATTAATTTTAAACATATTTGGATATTAATAATTAATAAATAATAATTTCCAGTCTGTATGTAAATGTACTTCCATAATTAACTGTATAGCTATACAAATATGTGTATATTAGAAAACCATTTGTATAAATTTTACAGGTGGACATTGCAACTTTTATGCACAGAGGCTGTTGAAAGAAGCTGAACACATGAGTGCTTTACAATCATGGGCGCCTGAAATGATACACTTTACGAAAACAACTAGAAAGCCTATTGTTGATGACATGTGTGATGTAATTATTGAAAAGCCAACATATATTATGAAAATAGATGCAAGTATGTATTATTTAAGTCATATATATGAAATAAAAAATAAGCAGTATGAACTATTATCCCTGGCACACACAGTGTACTCATGTAGGGACAAGTCTCCTTTGATGTATATGATTTATTTTGTTACTCAAGTAAATATTGTATTTATTTACATTTGCCAAGCTTGCTATTTCGCAGTTTGTATTCATACATAATCTTTGAACTATATTTAAGTACAAATTTCTTTCTTGTGATGCGTGGTAGAGTGCTTAACTTAAGTTCATTTAAGAGTATATCTTTAGAAATCTAAATGTAGTCTGTGTGTTACTTTTATTATAAATGTATTACAAACAATATATAATGTTGTTGACTCATAATATATATAGTATAGGTAATATACATAACTTAATGGATGCTTAATTATAATTTCAGCTGTGAATATGTATCATCATTTTTGTGATTTCTTCAATTTGTATGCATCTTTACATGTTAATTCTACACATCCCTCGACATTCTCAAAGGATAATCAAATTTTGATTTGGGAAACTTTTACTTATGAATCTGCATTTAAGGATGCCTTCAAAGCATTTACAAATAACCCAATTTGGGATTTAAAGAGGTTCCGAGGTCAAGTTGTTTGTTTTAAAAATGTATTATTTCCTTTATTGCCACGAATGATTTTTGGTCTTTACTACAATACACCTTTGGTAAGTATAATTGTGGACATTCAAACTAGATTAATTTACAGTGTATACTGCTAAGTACATGCTATCCAATTAGGTCCAAATTTTATTGTTTTTGTTTTATTTTGGATCTTTTAATATGTTAATATATATAAAAGGCTAATTAATAATGATTTAATAATAATTACTAATTATTATTTTATCATAATAATGTGTAATTATATGAAAAGTTGCTAAAATATACAATGTCTCGTATTTACACATTTAAGATAGAGTTTGATATAAACATAGTTCCCAAATGATAGATAAAGAAATACAGGTCTATCTATTCGAAAAATATGAATGATTAACCTTGAACTTTATAAGTATTTAAATATATCGAGTAATACTCGAATTACACAGTTTGCTACTAGTTACACAAATAAATAACCGTCTTTATAAAACAACTTCTCTAAAAACTGTAATTAGTTTCTCCAAATATTTAAGTTAAGTGAACTAATTTGATATTTTTAAACTTATTTGTTTAATTTGTTAATAGTTACATAATATATATGTATATATATATTTTAGATATACGGATGTGAAAGAAGCGGTTTATTTCATGCATTTTCCAAACATGTATTGAATTCATTGAATATAAAACTACATATCCGAAATAATGACAAAGTGAGAGTAACATTACTCTCCAGGGGCACAACATACAGATCTATATTAAATGAGAAACAGCTTGTGGAAGCTTTGCTTAAAGTGAAGGACTATCATGTAGAGCGAGTTGTGTATGATAGAACAATACCCTTTATCAAACAACTGGAAATAACTCAAAACACCGATGTCTTCATTGGAATACACGGCGCTGGGTTGACACACTTGCTATTTTTACCGGACTGGGCGGCAGTTTTCGAACTGTACGTATATACATTTTATTAGTACTATAGTCGATTTATATGACTTTTGTATCTTTATTAGTAGAATAATATTTTTGGGATGATCAGAGATACTTCGTCCGATTTAGTTTCCGTAGTAACGTTTGTATTAGTGTTTCGAAATAAACCGTGAATAAAATTAAATATACACATAAATGACCTGACACCAGTATATGAGAACGATTATTGGAAACAAACACTACAAAAATTTTGTCTTGCATGTATGGGGAGTAACATTCTGCTAGTATATATTTTAACTTTATTTAGTTTTTAAAGGAATTCTTACAAACCTATTTATTAGAATGTAAAAACTTCGTTTGACTTCCAATAAAATATTTCAGATATAACTGCGAAGATCCAAATTGTTACATGGACCTCGCCCGACTTAGAGGAGTTAAATACGTTACTTGGGAAAACAAAGATAAACTTGTGCAGGAGGACCAGGTTTGTGTTTTAAATTTATTATTATTAATTACTTTTAAACGAATTATTGCAGAACGAAAGATACAAAAAAAACTAAAAGATTTGTTATAACGAAGTTTATAGATCGCGGTAAATTTATCATAGTTTTACTCTTTTTTTGTGGATGCTAATGGAATGGTGGACCCACCTGCGCTAATGGTTTACGCTGGCGGGGCACCATGAAGCCAGGCTAGTTAGTCCATCGTGACAAATTCACCACGAAATTTTGTTTCCAGAGGGAGCCGCGTAGAGGTCAACCTGACATGGTACATTTATATTTGTTTAATAATAAAAGAAAACTATAATTTGTTTGTATTGGTCTGAATGTTTTCTAACTATATCAAACAGGTACTTGAAAAACAAAATTAAAAAAGTATTTCTATCAGTTGGTACTAGATGACGCTATGTAAATTATTATTAACTATTTGTTAAGGGACACGGGCCTGGCGGAGGGTCGCACGCAAAATTCACCAATTACTCCTTCGATGTGGACGAGTTTCTACGGCTCGTGGCCATTTGTGCAGAACATGTGCGCAAACGGCAGGACTTCAAAAATTTTATCGAGGCATCAATTTTGAAAAATCACGATGAACTGTAAACGTAAGTTCTTCTGGAAAATAAAATAAGAATATCGGAACGTGTAGATGTTTTGACGATTGATAGACACATATTATCAGTCTCTAAAGTGCCACATTAAACATAGAATTCTATGGAATCTTAAATTTAACGAATATAACATATATATTAGATATTAAACAAAATAATATAATTACCAGTGATTAAGATTCTGTCGATGTGTTTTGGAGAAATGAAAGTGCAAGAAGGCGATTACCTTCGGTTATATTTAGATAGATCGGGGTTAACAGATTAGACGCTGGGAGCAAGCGGTTTACGGAGATACTTACATTGACGGATCGACGAATCTTCACATAATGTAACTGAAAATAGTAAACTATCGGTAAGTTGCAACTAACAAACTTATGGAATTTACCATATTGTTATAATTTATGTATATGTAGTGGGACTTCTTCTAAATATATAGTACATTCAACCGTTTGGTACATAACAGTAAGGCTTGCGATCTATAGTACTTGTCGCATTTAGTATAGGATAGTATATGTCTACATCGGTCTCCGATTGAAAATCGATCTTGAACATTAACCTTATAGTTATATACCAAAAGGTTGAATATATTATATGTTTTAGAAATCATTAAGGTGGAGTTATAGTGTTGTGGCGTGTCATGGTAGTGGTAGTGAACTATAAGTAGCCCATTTGGATATTAGTTAAATTTATATTTGAGATGCAACAGTATTACAGGAGGCTTATACTATATGGAATCTCTTTTATAGCGCACCACAACATAATGTGATATCGATTTCAGTAATTTATTATTTTAACAGTATAAAATATTTATTATTCAAGCGGTGTGCACTCACAAGATTTTTTATTCGTATTCAAATAATAAATTTACTATTCTTACACTGGTGGAATGACCAATCGAATTAATTGTAAAACAAAACTAGAGAGTATCTATCTATCTATCAATCTAAGATGCAAACATAAATTTGACATTGCATACAAGTACAGTACGGGGCTCAAATCCAAGACCAGATAATGTGCCAAATGAGAATTTAGTGGAGATAGTGTGTAAAGCCCCATTAAACCAAGGTCATTAACGTATACCGTAGTTTTGAAAAGCATTGTGATAATGGGCTGTTAAGCATCTTTATTTAATTATTATATTATAATGGATAACATTTAGTCTATTCTCTATTATTAGCAAGTATCTCCTAATGTTCACACTAATTTTATACGAATTTTGTGGGTTTAATATTTTACTGTTATACACTATTGCTCAAATATTTTAAAAGAGAGGCAAACCCGACTGCTTTTATAGGCAACTGGGTAAAAGGTATTAGATACATATAATTACATTAAGGGCGGATCCAGCTTTGGCGCCAGGAGGGGGTCACATAGTCGTGGTCAAGTCAAGAACTTATAATTAATTAAATATTGAAGGTATGTAAAATCTGTATGGTGGCAATATATTATGTTCAATTAGTGGTCCACCTAATATGTCCTGGACTCAGGACCCCCATATCCTCCCCCCCCCTGGTTCCGCTGTTGAATTATATCAGTGTTTTTCATATCCCTTCTCGAAGTATCGGGGGAAAAAGGAAAGAACAATTGTTTATTTATTTAACACTGCAATAAAAAATCTACAATTTAGTATAAAATCACTTTAGCACCTTAGAGCGTTGTCTGTAAGAAAAACTGACTTACATATTGTGCTTGAGTGTTAAATGTTTAATCGATAGTTTTTTTGTTTGTTTTTTAATAGTATTTATACCATTAGTGCTCATATTATTTCATATGTATGAGATACTTATATGATACAATGTATCATTTAGATACACCAAAATAATATTGTCAACAAAATGTATTAGAATATAGTTAACAAACTGAAAATCCACAAAGTGCTGCTTATTTAGACCGTCCAATAGATATTATGATCGTTGATCGACGAACAATTTAGTATTAATAAGTAGATACTATATTAAATACTCTTTCTAATCAGTATTAACTTTGGAGAGTATACCTACATCAAAATAATGTTCTAGTTTAATTTAATTATAATGCATGATGCTCAATTTTCGACTGTTTGTGCTAGTGATTTTCTATTACAAATACTGAGTTGTAATAAAAAAATTACGAAAACGAAAAATATCATGTTAGTGTTAGTTAGCGGGTGCTTTATTAGCATGTGGCTATTTAGGAATATAGGAGGTCTAGTCTATACCGAACGACATTTAATTTAAAGTTTTTCTTTACTCTGAACTATCGGCAGTTCAATTGAGATTCAAAGAATTATATATACATACCTATATATATATATATATATGTATTGGGGAACTAAGTTGTCTTAACTTATATATAACGTAATATTTCGGATTTAGTTCAAATTTTCACTCACATACATCATAATACGGAAAAGGATTCCTGAAACACACATATTTACCTCAGAAGCTAGGGACTTCATAAATAGCTATATAAAATATGTAAATTAAAAATACTACTTATATTAACAGCGTTTTACCTTACAATAAAACGCTTATTAACTGCTTACCTAATTCGAAGCCTGTAAATGAGAGTAGCGATGCTATTTTTCGGTACTGAGGCGGATGTTACGTCACTTTTTGCCGGAAGTACACCTGCATTTTGTTAGTTCAACTTTCCTCCACCAGGTGGTGTTAGTTTACTTGTGTTGTGCAGAGTCCCAATTTAGGTCATTGCGTTCGAATTTACACCAGGCAGAGTTAGAAGTAGGCTTCGAATTAGGTAAGCAGTTAATAAGCGTTTTATTGTAAGGTAAAACGCTGTTATTAATATCGCTGTACCGTAATTCGAAGCCTGTAAATGAGACGTGTTTGGTGTCGCCTGGTGGAGGATGATTTAACGCCAATGTGATGTAAAATAAAAATATATACTATAGTATTTGTGGCAATGAAGCATGGAATTTCGTATCAAGTATTATGTGAGGAAAACAGGTTTAACTAAAATCCAAATGTTGTAATTATTCAATATTTAATAAAAATAAAGAAAAAAAAAATTATATATCATATAATCCCATTCTGATCATCACGGATATTATGAAATCCATTAATTTGCCATTAATTAGTTATATTAAGTAGAAACAATATATATATGTGTCAATCATCAAGACAAAAACACAATACAGTTAATATATTAATAAAAGTGAAGCGAGAATCGATAATATAACACTCATATAATGAAACGAGGAGAGTATGTCACTACTGTATGGGTGAGAACATATCAGGTAGAGGATTAGATTGCACGGGTTTGATTTCCCGGCAATAATATTGTGTAAATGTATTAAGACATCGCCAATTTCCCTTTGCAAGTATTTCGTCGATTGGGTAATTGAGTACCCAGTTCTTAGAGGCAACTGCAGATCGAATGCTACCGGGACTGGCCTTAACTCCTGCTTCTTCAAGTAACTTCCTCACCCAACCAGCTATTACTGTACGTGATGCAAGTTTGGGTGAACCACAAGCTGTAATTAATAAACTATTAGTTTTACAGATCTTACGCCTAGTGGACGACAATTCAATTACTCTCTTTATCCAAAACGTGGGATCAATCAAATTATTATCTTTGTTAGAAAGTAAACGCCACCCTGACTGCCTGGTGTCACAATTATCAGTTTTAGAACCAAACATAGGCCAAAATATTATGTAATTATCAGAAATAATACAGTGGTTATTATCAATAGCTAGTAATGTCAGATATGTACACGCCTTCCTGAACAAAGTAGTAACAAAGTGGCTGCTCGCTTTGAACACTGGTATAAATTGTTAATATCACTGCCATTATTTTGGAGCCAGTTAGATAATACATCAGTATCCCAGATAGGTGGTTTTACTATATTTTTAGGTTTTCGAAGGGATATGGACTTTAAGATTTTCTTTACAAGTATATGAGAGCTTAGCCTGTCGGTGACATTTGGATTGCAAAGTGTAGAAATAGCAGATTTATGTACCAAAATTGTATTATAAGAAAGTTTATATATTTGAAATATAGTGTAAATGGGGGGCATAATGCCCGGTTCTTGATGTCCGGTCTCCAAAATACCTTGTCCCATACCGGGGCTACGATTAGATAAATTCCTTTCGCTGTATTTAGGTGTGACAGTACTCTGGGTATTAAGAAGGGTGGTGGAAATATCCATGCCAGTGTAAAGTTCCATTCCTGGCTGAAGGCATCGCAAAGACATGCTTTTTGATCTGTTGGATCTAAGCTGGCATATCGTGGTACCACGTGAGCCGTTTTCGATGCCATAAGATCGATTACGGGTTCTCCCCATTTGTTGAAGATCCTGGCAGTGGCCTTCGGTAGCAGGTGCCACTCGGGAGTCATTTGACAACGAGATAGGCGATCGGCCTCGCTGTTGAATATGCCTGGTATGTGATGAGCAATAAGATGGATTTGATGTCTGTCTAAGAGATTGCAGATTTTTCTTGTGGTGTTCAGGAGCCTTATAGATTTCGAGCCTCCCTCTTTCTTTAAATAGGAAATAACCGTCTTGTTGTCGCTCTGCAGCATTAGTGAAGATTTCGACAGGAACCGATGCTGCTCTTTTAGGACGTAAAATACAGCTAACATTTCTTTTAGATTGGAGTGTAAATTCATATCTTGAGAGGACCAACGACCTGCAATCTCTATATTGTCCAGGCGAGCTCCCCAACCTACATCGGATGCGTCTGTTGTTAAAAAATGGCTGGCAGGTGGTATATGAAGGAGAGATGACTCTTTGTGATTTCTCATCCACCATTGTATCTCCTTCAGGACACCTTCGGGGACTACCCAGCGGCGGGAAGAATTTGATTGGGAGATTATTTTGCAAAAATGGAGAAGTTTGCGATGATTTAATCTTCCTCGAGGTATTACGAAACTGGCAAAATTTATAAGACCAATCAGACTTTGCAATTCTTTCAACTTCACAGTTCTTTTCCTCAATATAGGATTTATCTTTGTTACGAGGGACTGACATTTCAGCAGAGGCAATGACTTCAGATCTGACCAAGGGTCCCAGCATATCCCCAAAAACTCCAAACGAGATTGGGGGGTTAGAATCGACTTCTCGTAATTTATTTGCCATCCCAGTCGTTTCAAAAGTGAAACAGTGTCTCGGACCTGGATTGAAAGTTGGTGTTTGTTCTGGTTTACTAGCAAGAAGTCGTCTAGGTATGTAACTATGCGTATGCCTCGATCTCTCAGGGTTTGCGCAACCCAATTTGTAAGAATGGCAAACGTCTTTGGTGCCGTTGCTAATCCGAATGGGAGGCAGGTCATTTGTAATAGTTTTTGATTGAAAATCAATCTCAGAAATCTTCTGTGCGATTCTAGAATTGGTACGTGAAAATAAGCATTGGATAGGTCTATTTTGACCATCCAGTCGAAGGGTTGTAAAAATTCGGGAACTTTTTGCGTATTTATCAATCGAAATTTCGTTATTATTAAGTATTCGTTTAAGTTTCTGAGGTTGAATATAGGACGCATGGATCCGTCTGTCTTTGGAGTTAGGAACATATTGGAGATGAAACTCGGAGAGAGCTGCGCGCTCTCTAATATACCCGAATCGATCATGTTCTGGATGGCTTGCTTCATATGGAGAGAGAAACGAGTATGAATTTTGTGATTCTTGAAATTGGGCATGTAAAGTGGAGGTTTTTGTCCGAATGGAATTCTGTATCCTTGAATAATTTTTAAAATTGGTTCTGGGGCACCCATTTTTAACCATACATGAGCATAATTTTTTAAACAACCTCCCACAAAACTCACAGAGTCAGAATTTTCGTTTCGAACGAAAATTACCAGGACTTGGCCGCGAGTTCTTTGACTGGCCCTTATAAGATACTTCGTCCGGTCGGGATCTGTATCTTTTGTGCGAGTCAGGTCTGTTTGTTTTATCATGGTTCTGCGCGAACCGTTTTCTGTCATTATAGTTTTGTATAAAGCTACTTCCCTGCGTAGGAAATGTAGGTATATGATAGGGTACGTAAGCAGAGGAATGCATGTGTGGCATGAAAGAATTAAAACTATTATTGAATGTTCTGTTAGGATGTCCTTTGAATGTCAAATCTTGAAGGCCCTGCGCGGGCGCTTTCATATTTGATGGTCCTGCTTGCGTAGTGGACCAGTTGGCTCTCTGGTTTGAATTACGAACTGGCCAAAAAATTTTACCGACACCACCAGATTTTTCAATATAAGATGAAAAAGATTCTTTATTAAAAAGGAACTCATGTGTTGGAGGGATCTTTCGTAATTTAGCACGTACATACTTATCTTTCACGGATCGTAGTATACTATCTCGCCTTTGCTCAATTATATCTACTCGATGACCACAAGATAATTGGAGAAGGTCACTAGATATTTTGTTAAAAGTACCCTCACTAAATATTTCGTTTAATTTCTGTCTAATCGTTGATGGTGATAGGTCATTAGAACTAGATGCCCATGAGAGTAAAGACTCAAAACCGGCCTGCGCGGCCTCTCTCTGTTTAAGTAACGCTTGGGTAATAGCGGCGAAACTTTTTTCTATTGTACATAGATTAGGATATTTATCGTAAGATTTTATTTCGTCATTACATTCCAGATCAATGAAGCCTGGGGACGATGTATAATTCTTTTGTACTTCAGAAAACCTCACGTCACACCATTGAGAACTGTTAAAATGTTGCAACGAATTCAATAAATTGATGTGTTCGTCCGTTGACTTGGTAATGGTGGGTTCTTTCAAAACAGTATTAATTGGTAAGTTGAAGTTTGTTGTTGATAGACTGACAGAGTTATCCAAGGTTGAAACATTTTCGCCTTCGGAAAACAATTCACCACTGTGATTTAAGCTAATGCTATCATCTTCGTACAGAGGTTGTGTCGTATAGTTACCAAATGGTGCAATATGTGGGGCCGAATTAAATTGGTTATGAGACAAGTATTGTTTTAAATAACTAACCTCGTTACTGAGCCTGCGCAGCTCCTTTGATTTTCTACGTCGTTTGTTGTCTTTCTTCTTCTGCGGAGTGCCATGTCGTTTCCGTTGAGAACCTTCACCATTTTCGGCAGGTTCTGTTGCAGGTACATTCTGGATACTTCCGGACGAATTTGAAGAACTACTATCACTACTTGTATCACTCATACTAAAATATAACTAGTTTTGAAAAAAAAAAAAAAAAATTGTTGAAAATAAAAACCCTTGCAATAAACTTTAAATTAATGAATGAATTATTGTTATTAAAATATATATTGAAGGTAAGTAACATCGAACGGTAACACCGTTATCTTGAAAAAATAATTTTAAAAAATACAGTGATGCAACAATTTTTATTCTTACGTGGCCTCAGCGTACATAAGAACAGTCCGCTCAGCACGAAAAATAAACCGCCAATGACCTAAATTGGGACTCTGCACAACACAAGTAAACTAACACCACCTGGTGGAGGAAAGTTGAACTAACAAAATGCAGGTGTACTTCCGGCAAAAAGTGACGTAACATCCGCCTCAGTACCGAAAAATAGCATCGCTACTCTCATTTACAGGCTTCGAATTACGGTACAGCGAGTTAATAAAAATACTTAATAGACCTCCAAATAATTCGTTTGCTTTAATGAAAATCTTAGATAATATCATTAAAGAGAAATTATGTAACATATTTATATGTCGTGACACTTAGTCGAATAGATGTACACATATTATATTCTGAAAGTATACAAATAACCTAGTGTATTATTAATATTGTAAGAATAGGTTAAAGAAAAGTTGCACTTATCAAAATACTCAGAAATTAAAGGCATATAGTGTTAGAAGTGTTTTAGTAAGACACAGTGCCGGTAACAGGCGCATCCTCTGTATGCTCGGTCATATTCAATAAATTGTGACGAACAGTTATAACTATTCTAATTGTTTCCTTATTCAGAATCATATTTCAATATACAATTAGATATAGTAGGAATATACATATGTAAATAGCTACTATCTCTTCATTTTACCTTCCTGTACGACATCGGAACACGATACAGACCATTAGTGGCCATTGTAGCCACTAAAACTTTGTTCACCTTTTTTGTAAATTCTACTGGAACAGTAGTTGTGTAGTTATAAAATTCTAACAATTTTAATGGAATCAGATTGAATAGTCAGTTCGCCAAACAATGAACACTATATTTATGAGCTACCTCCGAGCTCTATTCATTGTCTGATGATGCCTTGTTCAGAGGAAATATTCAATAACTATTAGAGTTTGATCACTAGAAGATCGTAACGTAAAGATCGTGCAGTAGTGGTAGTCCGATTATTGCACTGAATATTCTCACACATGCTAAGCTAGTTGATAATAATAATCATGTAACAGGTCAATCTATCTTCTTGTTACTAGTTTTAACTATATACCTACTATCAGTCTCTAAACTAACTTTGTTATTAAAGTCTGTCATAACAAAAAAAATACAAGTGTATTGCATTCGTCCCTTTAAGGAATTAAAGGAATTAAAGGGACGAATGCAATACACTTGTATTTTTATTATAATTTTTATAACTCTTATTTACAAATAATTTCTTTATGGTTAAGGTCTTAAGAATAGCAATGGATATTCGTAAAGTACCACTCTACCTATAATTGTTTAAGAAGGCGATAAATGTTGTTGATGCAATCTGTTTTATTTATTATTTTGCGAATGCACCGCTAGTTTAATTGTAACAGCGCCGACGTACATAAGTTCCATAATTACAGTTCGCGATGTTCAGATAAATTGTTCATAAGATCGGACGGGAGGTTCATATTCGGATGAATTATTGACATGTACTGTTACAGTTAATTCGGTGAATCTCGGTAATTTCGCACCGTAACAATATAAAACAACATACATTACAGTAGTTACGTATATATTGTATAAATACTAAGTAATCCGATTAGTTTTGTATTATAAAACAAATTGTTAATTTTGATTGCTAAAAATTTTATTTTTTTGCAATATTAACATGGGTATAATAATGTACTACTATATATTCATACTATGTTATATATATCAAGTTTTAGGCGATATTTAAAGGTAGCGACAGAGACAAGGTTACTATATAAATTATAACAACATGACAAACTATTATCAAGGGTCTCTCGAAGAAGAGGTTATCGAATTGTCACACAGACCTACGGGTTTTAGGGCGGTAATCCACTGAATGTAGCTACGTATTTAAATGAATTGTTAGAATAGTTTATTGAGGAAAATTATATTCAGTAATAAAACGAAATAACGGGTGGCTGATGATATTTTTTTACATATTTGTGTTGCGGAATAACTACCCATTCCAAATGAATTTATAAGAATTGCTTGATGATTGAATGCTTTCATTATAAGAATTTCGTTTTTTGTTTATGTATAAAGAATAAAATTCACATATCATCCACATAGGTTTTCATATGCACACAATTTGTCCTGATTGATTATCTCAGCAGAGCGATAGACAAGTCTGTAACTTCTAATCACGAATGGACCTGTGCTTCCTCAAAATTTAGATAAAATAGACATTTCAAAAAATTAAATATTTGATGTATAATCGTTTAAATAATTCAAAATTTAACCAATAAGTTCGGTGTCAATATGAGATGAAGTATTTTATCATCTGTAGTAAAGTATTTAATACATATTTTGTAGTGGAACTCAAAAATCTATATCTGTTTCATAAAGTTGTGTCATCATACATCAGACTGCCTATTTGAAGATATTTTATGTATTGTATGTAGGTAATATAATATTTAATATAATAATAATAAATATTTCTGCAAATCGTAAATTTCGTATATTGAAATCCGACTCTCTTAGTGGTTGGTTTGTTACCTTGTTATTTAATAAATTGACATTTCAATAGAAAAAGGTATTTTATCGGAATATTTAATTAAAAATATTTTTGGAGTATTATTGTAATTTGGTGTTATTGGTGATTATGACTAGATAGTATTAATATGTTCTCAGTAAAAAGTTTCGAATGAGTTATTGGACACAGAAAGATGAATAGGTAGGCATCACATGTACCTATATATTGCTTGTATTTGCGCAATCTGCATTTCTCTTATTCTACTGAACCCTAAAATGGAAAAAGGCTGGGAGATGGTAGGGGCGGTAAATCGTAAAACAATCACATAATATGCAGGCAATATTTACAGAGGGGAATTAATGACCGAAGTCTGCGTGCCCTCGGGGTCGATGCTCATAACTTTTTTGGATAACCAGATTGTATCGAAGAATAACATCAACAACTAATTGAAATCACTCGAACTGTTTAATTTTTAAGTTTACTGTACTATATTCATTGGTACTTATTGTATTTATTAAAACTTTTTACGTACAAATCATGTGATCATGTGATATTCTATTTTTACGTTTCATGTGTTTATTTTGTTACCTGTATTAAATAAGTTTTTTATAATCTATGGTGTTATTTATATCATCTATTTAATATATTTGTAGTTATCGAAAAACCTATCCTAAATTGCTAGTAAAATTTATCAAGTATTAAAAATATAGGCATGTTTCAGAATACTGTAACAACATTAGGAATAGTCTTTATTTTTGTGTTACTATGTATAAACCTCGATATGTTAGATAAAACTGGAACCTATGAAGCGCAATAGCTGGATCATTTGCTTGTTTATTATGACCGGCACGATTATATAAGTGCTTAATGGATTTGTACGATGAAATATTAGAGTTAAACATCGAATTAAATGTAGGCTAGGTATGTAGGCAGCAGTAGGTAGACACGGCCACACGGCCGGTGCCGGTGGCGCATGGCGGCTAGCGCTGCACACGGCCGGTGGTCGGCGATGCGACGACGCCGCTGATTCATGTTGCTGATAGCGATCGCAGGCGCCGGCGCCCACCACCATTTTCTATATTTATCACTATTCGCCTACTGTATTGCAGTTTGAATCAAGACATCTATAATTCTAGTCAAGGTAGGCGATTACATTTGCTTTGCAGTTTTACAAAAAGTAAATTATTGGTACCACGGTATGTGGTTCATGAGGGTGAGAGTTATTTTTTAGTTTTAGTTTTAATTTTTTTACCTATTTATTAAGTAAGTTGTTTACTAAACCTGTTGAGTTGTAGATGTTAGGTATTAGGCATATAATTTTAAATTTAAAACTGTTTATAATATTGAAGGCATTTACTTAATATCGAAAATTGGGTTCGTACTGTGTTACAACCATCTAGCCGCTGATCTTTAGTTTACCAGTGATCATGGCGGTTTCCCGGTTGCAACACTCTAAATAATCTTAGTAATTTTATAAACGCAAAAGTTTGTGAGTGTAGATGGTTGTTTGTTACTCTTTCACGCAAACTACTGAATGGATTTTAAATAAATGTATTGTAGATCAGAATAACACAGGCCTGAAACAAGCGAGTGTAACGGCGGGCACAGCTAGTATGTTATAATTGAGTAAGATTCCAATTCAATATTATAAATACATATTATTATGGATGCACAAAAGTTATATTTGTACTACGAAAGGCAATTCTACAGATGTCACACCTTTTATGATATGGAATTACCATTTCTTGAAAGTCATACAAACAAACACACACATATGTCACACAGACAAACACACTTTCGCATTTATAATATTTAGTGGAGTTTTGATAGATTTGTTTATCTTTTTGTAATCTTGGTTGGCTTTTTGGAAAAATAACTTCTATAAACGAATTCTGTTTATTTTTTAGGCAGAGGTTTAACTACTTCTAACCATTGTCATTGTTTATAGTAGGATCTCAAACGTCAATTAGAAAAAATGTTACTAAGAAATATCTTATTGATGCCATAACAAACATATGTTCAACACACTAGCTCGTAAGTGTATCTATTTTCACCGGTTTTCGATATATAAATCAAATAGTTAAGTTATATTCCATAATCGCACTATTTGCTATTTTTTGTTAAATTTAAAATTAACTGCCGCGCGACACCAGTTATGCATCGAGCTGATTAAAAAAAGTAAAACCGCGGGAAAGCGACTGTATGCATCACAGTTGTATAGTTGAGTTGATTTAAAATTTGGTGTGTCGAAAAACGTAAAGTAATGGTATTTAATACACTAGGTTCTATTACGCCCTTGCCTACGGTTCGGGCTGAAATTACCCCTCGTATTTTATAAACATCATAACACACTTATATCGTAATATACTATTACTATTATAGCTCTTACAGTGTACAATAATTATTAGAATAAAATAGAAAATCATTTATTCAAATAAACTTACACTGAAGCACTTTTGAATAGTCATTACATTTTTTTTTAATCTACCGCTCGTTCGGAAAGCTGTCTCATCACAAGAAGAACGAGCAAGAAACTTGCGTGTTGCTCTTTTAAATAATTTTATTATTACTTTACATTTTTAAGTTTAAGTGTGTGAATACAAACCACCAATTAGCACTAATTCAATTAAATACTCAAATAGAAAAAATATTGAATACATAACCAACTGGTTAAACAATTAATAAGAGGAAATCAGTCATAGTGATTAGAGCAGACCAGTCCCTACAAGCAGCACCCGTTCACGAGTATGACGGATGAGCCAGCCATCACTGCGCTCGACCATATTTTAGGGAGCCCAATGACCCGGCCCACCACGCCGCCACAAGTCTGGACATTTTAGTGAGCATGACTACTCCAAAACACTAGACCACGTCAAAGCTACTCACAATTGCCATCTGATAGTTATAGTATTCACATTTTACATAAGAATGCATGCGGCAATTAATACAAAAACCGTTACGCTTTCATATTTCTAAAATCAATCAATTAAATTAAGAAAGCAATGAGAAAATAAAATTATAACGTTGTATGCTAATAAACTAATTATTTACTTGATATGTTGTCATCTATGAATTCGTCTATCCTGTAATAGGCTTTCTTACATAAAAAATGTTTAATATAAGATTTGAATTGCCTCTGTCAGATTTAATGCAGATTCAGGCAGTTTATTATAAAATCTTATGCAATTACCATAGAATGAATTACTGATTTTGTGCAGACGGCATTTAGGTAAAATAAGCTTATTTAGATATATTGCGTAAGTTTCTACTTGTCCAGTCTTTGAGTTTTTTAAAACTCTCTAAGTTCTTCCGTGTATACATAATATTTTCATAAATGTATTGTGAAGTATTATTAGATTTATAATGTATACAAAACTTTAATATTCAGAATCAATATATAATCAAAATAAATAGATAACTATAAATAGTTTTTGATTCTATGAAGTCTATAATTCAAAACAAGCATGCATCTATTACTCAATCGATTGAAATATGTTTACTGTGTCAAGTGGATTAACGGCACCTGAGTATGTCAGTTGAGCCTGTAAGAGAAAGAATTAATCTTAAGTCTACGAGCGTCATTTGTATAATGGCACCGCGAATTAAGGCAACAACCTTAGATTAACAATAGTAACAAACAAACAGAAGGTAACAGAACGAAGACAAACATTCGTGGCTCTTTCAAAAGCGTACAATAGTCATCATCAATTACAGGCAATAGATCGCCCAACATCATTTGTCCGTCCGTCCGTTACTCGACTGGGGCATTCCCACGGCTCGGGACGATCGTGTTTGTTGTCGGAATATGTCCAACGAGAAATAGTAATAGAAAATTGTTTCTGATTGCTTCGCTCTCTACTTTAGTCGCCTCCCTGAGATCCGCGTTCTCGTTTTTATTGTCTGCAAGATCATAATTCTAATGCAGCTTATTTATATATCTGATTGTACTTATTTTATCACTATTTATCGACTAATTTAGCCATCTAATAACGTAATATAAACATAGATTACAGCTTATTAGCAGACTAGAAGTAATAGATGAATATTTTTTGAAACATAATACAGAATAATACAAATATACTTATTCATACATACAAATAAGTATATATTTTCTATTGTTCGCAAATGGTATCTGTTGTATTATAAGGTGAGGTACAAATATCATTTTAACCTAGGCAGACTTTGTATAAAGTCGTTTGCTTGATTATTCACCTATTTCAACTACTTTGCAGCTAGCTGTGTATGATGTGTTTGATATATTCGTTCGAAAGACAGAATATCACAGGTTAGGAAAACATGTTATTTCTTAGGAAGGCATCGCATGAGTCGCACCTCACATGATATCCATGGTTCTTGCTATTCATGTATATAGGCAATGATTACCACTAACCATCACCGTAAAATTGCTTGCTGTTATCTACAAGTTACTTAAAAAATATGACACCTTTTCTTAACTTAGCTACTACTACTACTACTACTACTGCTACTACTACTACTACTATGTACAGTACTATTTTTTACCAAACTTATCATTATTATTTATGTATCCTTAAGCTAGCAACGTAAAGATAAATAGGTTGATATACCTACTTGTACTGCAGATATACGAATTTAATTCCAGGTTTATAATTATGCACAGCGATTCAAACCGTTGTTATCCCGATGTTATCATGAATAACGCTGAAGAGAAATTGCTCAGATCAAAAGATAATCTCGCCGGAACCAAAATTGATCATTGATAGGAGGCGCGCGCGTCCTGCACTCCTGCTGCCTGCCACGGTTGCCACCAACCCACGCTGAGCGCAAACACTGAAATCTCTTTTTAATATTAATAACTTGTGTGTTTGAAAATTGCCAATTTATTTTAATATCACTTTATTTTGTAGCGAATAATGTTTCTAATTCAATTGCACAAAAATGAAGATTAAAGATCAGGTTTGTATTACCACTGTTTGTGTAGCTTTCGCATTCGGAAATTTGTGTACATACAATATGTTATATTACAGTATGTACATACAATATGTTATATACCTACGTACACCGTCACAAGTTCAAATGTCAAATGCTTCAATGGGTGATTGTTCAGTTGCCTATAAATAATATGTGAGGGTTCAAAGCACTAGCGCATTACCTACACATTATTAGCACTGGTTTTAGGTCACTTCACAGTACAGCCTCATTCGATCTCTCGGTCAATAAATATCAGATTAAAGTGCCGCTATTGTAGCCTTCACGCACAAACTAGTACCGTGGCTTTCAATAACGGTTCGCACTATGCAGATTATCATTGGGGCGATAACCACGACGTGAAAGCGATAGCGGCGACACGATGCAATGGACCGGGTGGCGGGCGCTGTCCTGTCGCAGCCACAAGTGTCTCACGCATGATGACGACGTGCGACGTGACGCAGACCGAGCCGACGCTATGAGAGCTGCGTGACAAGGCATATGGAGCCCGAATCGCTCAATAGTACGATCGCTTTTAATAACTTACATTTTGCAGTGTCTCCTGTATCTCGAGACGCGTGGTTGCTGTTTGTGTTCACTTCAATTAATGCGACACTTACAACATAAGTACCTAAACT